CGAACAGGGACTCTGCCTTCTTCAACCTGTGACAAATGCATAGTGCCTGGCACATAGTAGGCACGCAGTAGGCATTTATTGAATGAATCCATAAATATGCCCTCTCCAGAAGAATTGTTTTAAAATCCCCTTTATTATAAAAGAAGGCACAAACATAGAAAACTACATAAAACAAATGTGTGGCTGCCAGCTAGTGGCAAGATGATCAAGGTGCTGGATCCCTCATGGCTGGCTGAACAGTTTGAGTCCTGGATCCAGTGGCTTGAGAAACATGCCAAGCGCATGTGTGTGTGCCCAAAATCCGAACAGGAGAATGGAGGAGAAGGGATTGTAGCTGGGCCATGTCCCCTGGGGGACGATTTCTCACTTTCCATTTCTCTCTGTCTCTGTCTCTCTCTTTCTCTCTCCCTGGTGAGTGTGCATGCCCTATAGCAAAAAGAAAGAAACAAAGAAAGAAAGAAAGAAAGAAAGAAAGAAAGAAAGAAAGAAAGAAAGAAAGAAAGAAAGAAAGAAAAAGAAAGAAGAAAGAGAGAGAGAAAAAACAAATATATGGCCTAATGGATTATTATTAGGTGAACCCCACTGTTGAACCAGCCAGTTGAAAAATAGAACTTTGCAGAAGTTCTTCCATATGCCCTTCTTGATCACAGCCTCCTCCTTCTTGCCATAAGTAACCACTATTTTGATAGGTATAAAAATCTCTTCTCCATACCCAGAGTGTTTCAGATTGACTGGGCTGGGAATTTGAATCATGAATGCCACGTGGGATCCAGCTTCTCTTTTTGTTATTGCTGTTGTTTTTAATTTGCCATAAGAAAGGACAGAGACAGAGAAACATAGACATAGAGGGAAAGTGAGAAAGGTCCCCTGACCACACTGCAGGCCCTTGTCCTCCATCTCTCTGTCCTTTCATGATTTGGGGCATACACACTCACTCTCACCAGGGTGTTACTCAAGTTGCTAGGTTCAGGACTCAAACTGCGTGGTGGACCATGTGGGATCCAGTCACCTTAACCACCATGCCACCAGCCAGCCCAAATATAACCTCTCTAGAGCAGCAGCTCATCATTACATCAGAGTCAGTCTTGTTTTTGTTCTTTTAGAAAAAAAGATACCATTGCCTAAGTGAGGTCATGTAGTATTTGTCTTTTGGTGTCTGGCTTATTTCACTTAGCATAGTGCCCACCAGGTTCATCCATGTTGTCGCAAAAGGCAGGGTTTTCTTCTTTTCAAAGACTGAATAATATTCCATGAATGCTTATTTCCTCCATTTTCTTTACCCATTTCTTCATGGTGGACACTTTAGTTGCCCAATGTATTGCAATAGTGAATAGTGCTGCAGTGAACATGGGAGTGCCGGCATCCATACATGGTGCTGGCTTCCTGTTCTGTGGGGTTGCTGAGTCACATGGCAACTCTAGTTTTATTTTTTGGAGGACCCTCCCTATATGCTTTCCACAATGACTGTACTAACTCTCATTCCCACCAACAGGGTGCTGGGATACCCTTTTATCCACATCGCCAACACTTATATCTCGTCGTTTTTTTCCCTCTAATCAAACATTTTTTTAAAGACAGCATCTCCCTATGTCATGATCCTCCTCCTTCAGTCTCTCAGATGAGACTACCATGGCAGGCTTGTTTTCAGACAGGGTCTTGCTACATTGTCCAGGCCAATCTCAAGCTCGAAGTTGCATCTATAACCTCCTGAGTTGCTGAGGTTATAGATGTATGCTACCACACCTGGCTTTTAGGTTGGACTGGGAATTTGAACGTATGCTCGTTTTACAAATAACAACTGCTGATGCTTAATAGCTATTCTATTATTTTTCCAAGGACAGCAAAATGGGAATGTTCTATAATTTGTTTTTTTCTTTATTAGACAGACTGCATTCATAAAAGACCATCCTCTCATCAACTCAGTAGGATCATGTTTGTTACCAGTTTTCAAGATAATAAAGTGGTTCCTCATATTTTTTGAGGATGACAAGTTCTTTTTCTTTTTTAATATCATGACAAACTCATGGTTAAATCCATATATAGAAATTTGTCTAAAACTAAATATATTAAATACATATTTGATGGTTTTCAAGATACTGTAACCATTATATTTATTAGAGCTGAAATTGTTCTATCTGGGCCCCTGTTAGTCTCTTCCAGTTGCTCCTGGGTCTTTTTTTTTTTTTTTTTTTTTGAAATGTTTGTGGTATGGGGACCTGCGCACGC